GACTTTTTTAAAAGGAGAAGGGAATTACTTATAAATAAACATAGATTATAAACCCAGTGGGTTACTTGTGGGACATTGTTTGTAGATTGTCTGCTCTGTCTTTTAGGAAAGGCTTGCAGCTTTCCCCTGCCTCCGGCTCCTTTGTGGCACCATCTGCCTCCCTGTCCTGTTCTGGTGTGTCTCCCTCACCGTAACGCCTTGTCCAGACAGGCCATTGCAACGCATTGACATTTTTTAAAAGTTGCTCTTTTTAATCTCTTATTTCTCGTAACTTTAGTCAATATTTTAATGCTGATATTAAAATATTTATTTTTTCCTTGTTTTTGTTTCTTTTCTTTCTTTGGGGAGGGGAGAGGAGAGGGGATGAATATCCCTAAACCTAATATCCCTAATCCCTAATTTTAAAACTTAAATTTTTAAAATATGTCTGGATTATTTAACACCACTTTTATCATTTGAAATAATTCTCTTCATATCCCACATTTCCTTCTCCTGATCCCTTTACTCACACTTGGTGAAGGAAGGAGACAGTAGCAAATTGGCTAAGTATACTATTTATTTGCATTTTAAGTTTTCCAGAATATGACGCCCAATGTTATAAAGGGGGAACTATGGTATATTCTGTCCAGGTTAATTTTTTCTTTCTTTTTTCTTTCTTTCTATTTATTTATTTATTTAAGACAGGGGAAGGGAAGGAGAGAAACAACACGTATGGTTGCCTCTCCCGCACCCCCTACTGGGGACCTGACCTGGCCCGCAGCTCAGGCATTTGCACTGACTTGGAATCAAACCAGCAACCCTTTGGTTCGTAGGCCAGTGCTCAATCCACTGAGTCACACCAGCCAGGGCTGGATTAATTCTTTCTTGAACTGCTACTTGGAATTTCTTTAACACAGCTCTGTTGGGTGAGGAATCCAAGAAGAGGTCCATGAGAACAGCATCTCCACTTAACTGACCAGTAGGAGCAGTTCCAGCCTCAAGTGCCACATCTCAGAGCTAGGGTCTCACCCTCCCCTCACTGTCTCGTCCCCATCGTGCAGATGTGGGCAGTGCTCCTCCTTTCTACAGTTTAATGCTGGGTACATGTGGGGAGCTGTGGGAAAGACTGTAATGGCAACTTTTAGTAAGCATCTTGTTTTTATTTATTTATTTATTTGTATAAGTTTTTTAAAAGATTTCATTTATTTATTTTTTTTAGAGAGGGAAGGGAGGGAGAAAGAGAGAGAGAGAGAGAAACTTCAGTGTGGTTGCTGGGGGCCGTGGCCTGCAACCCAGGCATGTGCCCTGATTGGGAATCGAACCTGTGACACTTTGGTTCACAGCCCACACTCAATCCACTGAGCTACACCAGCCAGGGCTGAGTTTTTTTAAAAAAATTTTTATTTATTTAATTTTAGAGAGGGAAGGGAGGGAGATAGAGAGAGAGAGAGCGAAACATCAATGTGCGGTTGTTGGGGGTCATGGCCTGCAACTCAGGCAGGTACCCTGACTGGGAATCGAACCTGCGACACTTTGGTTCGCAGCCCACGCTCAATCCACTGAGCTATGCCTGCCAGGGCAGCATCTTGTTTTTAAAAATTTTTCAATATGTCTATTGATTTTAGAGAGAGAGAAAGGGAGAGAGAGAGAAAGAGAGAGAGAGAGACAGAGAGAGAGAGATGGAGACACTGATGTGAGAGAGAAACATCGATTGGCTGCCTCCCATATGCACCATGATCAGGGATTTGTTGAAACCTAGGTATATGCTCTGACCAGGAACTGAACCTTCAACCTTTTGGTGTATGGGTTGATGTGCCAACCAAATAAGCCGCATTGGCCAGGGTAACATCATGTGTTTTTTTTTTAAATGTAAAATTCAATAGATTTAAACATTTTTATATTTATGATTTTGTATTTGTAAATTTCATTTATATTAACCATACTATTTCCTACATTAAATATAATTTTTTGTGATAGGTACCAGATCCACTTCAGTACGGATGCTCTTTTAGGGCTCAGGCATATCATCATAATGTAGCAAAAATGTTCATGAAATAAAATGCACTATTACAAAACGGTCACAAACGGTCACAAAATGGTGCACTGAACCACACCTGTACAAAAGAAAATCTGCTTCCAGACTTTTCCGGTTGGCAATGACAATGTTAAAACTTAACACATCAAATACATTTTCCTTCTTTCTTGGAATCACCAAACAAAAAACACTTTATGATTTGTGGTTACTGTTATTTAATATTCATTGCATTTAAAAAATATTTTATTTACTCATTTTTAGAGAGGGGGAAGAGAAGGAGAGAGAGAGGGAGAGAAACACCAATATATGGTTGCCTCTCAGGTGCCCCCACTGGGGACCTGACCCACAAACCTAGGCGCGTGCCCTGACTGGGAATGAAACTGTCAACACTTTGGTTTGTAGCCTGCGCTCAATCCATTGAGCTACACCAGCCAGGGCTATTCCTCACATTTTATCCTTCTTCATCTGTACAATGAGAATATTGTTAGGTTCAAGATGTTTTTGTAATGATTACATGAAAGGCATGAAAAGTGCCCAGTGTGTGCGAATAGCGGGCCCTCTATCTAAATAACAGGTGGATGGTAGACAGCAGACGATAAGTGATGGAAAAAGAGATGATGGATAGAATTTCCCTGCATGTGGAATTCTGGAGCTTCTGGCTGGTTCTTTAGGTATGGCCATTTAATTTTTTACTTATGACAGTTTAACTTATACCAGGAGCAAGGGGCCTGCCATGAGTACTGATTTGTTAAACGTTTATAAAAAAAACTTAGCTTCGTTTAACCTGAAACTCTTTAAGTCTTATGATGGAAAAGTCAGTTACGGAAAACGTCAAACCTCATACTCTTGGCGATCAAATAACCTTGCTGGAGTCTTGCGGAGACGCGCCGCTAACGCACATGCAGTCGGGGCTTGGAGTCATGTGAACCTCAGCACTGGGTCGCAGGCACCTTGTGGCTCCGACAGCAGCCAATCAGGAGAGTGCTTGCCACCACACCCACCTGCCCACCGCCGGTCTCCGGGATGGGAGCCAATCTGTCTACTTTTCTAGCAGGCTGAGCTACTGTGGCTTAATTCTTCCTGGAAATCTCTGCAACTCTAATGGACACGGAGTATAACACTACAGGCTACTCCAACACCGGTTTCATATTTTAAAAAGAAAGGAGAAGAATTACTCAAACTCTTTGATTTTGTTATCTGTTAACTTGGAAAATCATTTTAAACAGTCATTATAAGCATCAGAATTCTTTTTGGCAATCTTCTTGCAGTTCTCTGAAAGGCAAAGAAGAGCAGATTGGTTTATTGTCTTAGCAAATGATTTTTTAAAAATAAATTTATGTGTGAAAATAGGCCACATGAATATTCTATAAAAGATGGTAGGCATTTTTCACTTCGTTTATGTCCTTTATACCCGAGTACATGCAATACAATTGTACTCATCTTGTAACGTTTTTAAAATTAGAATGTACCATATAACTCTTGGAGGACTGCCACATCATAGTTGCTCACCCCTGCCCCCCCACCCCGCCCGCATGATCTGTTCTCTTCGGATGAGTTTCATTCCTAGCAAGTTTCAACATTCCTCCACACCCTTTGTAGGATACAATGAATATACACAACATCTTGTTTAATAATCTCAATACAAGACAATATGCTGTGTTGTGCCATTTAATGCATCAACTAAAAAACTAGAACTCTAGTCTTCAGAATAGTGTACTTGGATTGATGTGGATATTATCAGGTATCTTTCATCTTTGAGATAAACTTTAAATGTGAGCCTAGTTTAAATAGTATGGCCTTTCATCCGTCTAACATATGCATGTGGAGTGTGTGTGTGTGTGAGAGAGAGAGAGGAGGGAGGGATGAGTAGAAGGAAGCATTAAAACTATTCAGAGAAATAATCCAATATAAGACAGTGAATTAGAGGTTTTGATTTTTGAGCCTGTTTCTCAGATATAAAGTGGAGAGTAAAGAGTTAATTGTCCTTTCTGGCTAATGCAAATCCTTTACACTTAAAAATATATTATGATAGGATTCTGGGCATTTTGGCAAAAATATAAGATTTCATTATTCTTATTATTTTAACTGCATACCTCAATGGATCTTTGTTAATAGCTCCATTAAGATATAATTCACACACTATAAAGTTCACCAATATAAAGTGTACAAGTCAATTTTTTTTTAGTGTCAAAACTCCATAGTGCCTCTCCCCTGTCCCCCAGTTCCAGGCGACCACTAATCTACTTTCTGTCTGGTCTGTAAGAGTTGCCCATTTGTGGGTATTTTACAATGTGTCTTTTGTGACCGGCTTCCCCCACTTCACATAACAATACAGTTTTAGATTATTTGACCTCAGTATCAGGACTCTGAGAATAAACTGTTATACTTGCATTCTTTGATGAGTTTGGGTATAATTTGCATTAGGCAAAAATTAGAAACTAGGTGGAACAAGAGGGCTTTTCTCCCCCAGGTCAGCTAACCCATTTTGCCAATGTCAAATACCAGATTGCCCAACACAAGCTACTGAACAGTGTGTGTTCATGGATGTTGAAACTGACACTCTCTATAAGAATTCTGGGGAAAAGAAACCCTGTAAGTTACAAAAGGATCCACCAAAAGAAAGGTGGGTTTAAGTTTGGACAAAATGAAGTTTAACAGCTTAACTTTCCCTCCTTGGAAAACTGGCGATTGCGGAGTATTTACCATAAATCCATATAAATCCGCATTTGGTGCTTGTACAGGGGGCCCCGGAGGGCCAGACCCTTCGGAAAAGCGAGTCGGAAGCTCACAGAGAAAGCACATTTCCCCTCTGCCCTTTCACCCTCTTCTCGCTGGCAGGGTTGATCTTCATTGTGATTTGCTCAAACATTTGGAAGTGAATTGAGGGCCCTCCTCCCAACTTATGATTTTATAGCCAATAGGTGATGAGGTTTATTTGCATATTTCCAGTCACATAAGCAGCCTTGAAGTGGAAACAGTGTCAGACTCGATTCCTCTTCCTCCGAGGAAACCTGCCACTTCTAGCTGCCCCGCTCTCTGCTTTGCCCCGCAGGACCGAGGCTCTGCCTGTTCCCGCCTCCGGCTCCGCGGTGCATCAGTCTGTCCGCGCTCCGGACTGTGCCCTGTAGCTCCGACCGAGCGACAAGCCTCGAGATGCAGAGCAAAGTGCTGCTCCTGGTGGCTCTGGGCGTGTGTCTTCAGAGTCTGACCGCCTTCCGTGGAGGGGTGGCCGCCTCCAACCGTAAGTTTTGCGCGCAGACGCCCCTTCACCTGCAGACTTGGCTCAGCCGCTGCTTCCACGCATCTGGAGAATGAGAAGGAGGGAGTCGGCAGGGGATTCGGATGCGCGCCGAGGACTCGCCTAGCCCGAGCGCTGCTCGGAGACGTCACCCGGGCGGGATCCTGGAGAGGCAGGGAGGGAGTTCTCCCTCCGATCTCGCGGGGGCCGCTAGCAGTTCCCGCGCTCCCGGTTCCCGCGCTGTCCCCCTCCGCGCCAGCTGAGCCCGTGTTCCCGGGCGCCCGGGCTCAGCCGGGAAGGGACAGGGGCAGTGCGAGGGGCAGGACGACAGAGGCGGGAGGAAGGGTCCAGATGGCAGTGAGCGGCAGTCCCATCCCGGCTCGGGGTGGGGTGGGGGGCGGCCCTGGAATGAAAGGCACGCGAGCCAAGGTGACCCTGGCTAGGCTGTGGCTGCGACTCAGCCCCCGCCTGTGGGAGCGCTGGCAGAAAGTGGTCCCTTCTGGAGAAGCCGGTCCAGGGACGGGGGAAGGGTTGCCTGCATCCTAGGAGCACAGAGCACTCTCACTCTGCGTCGAGGCGGGGCGCGGGGGGGGGTACCGGGGACCCGTGGAGCCGAGGCCTGGAGACGCCGCATCTTGCAGGCGTCCTGGCGGACACGGAGAAGCTCTCCAGCTGCCACTCTTGCACGCGCGGCTTTTCTGAGCGCCCGGCAGATCTAGCGGCCCTCCTGAAACGTGGGCTTGGGGGTTGCCAGGTTTGCATTGGCTCTCCTTACTGCTCCGCGGCCGCCCGCTCTCCTGGGTTAGAGCGTTGGAGGCCCGAGGCGAATTTCTTTATTGCGGCGGGGGTGAGCGGGGGCGGGGGGGGTGCGGGTTAGAGGGGAACAAGCGCTCAGTCCCAGACCTGCCCGCAACAGACGCAGCCTGATTAACTTGAACCTTGGTTCAGCTAACACAACAGCAACTAAAAGGATTAACTACTTGGCCTTATTGAAGCCAACACAGAACTTACTGCTGTGTGTGTGTGTGTGTGTGTGTGTGTGTGTGTGTGTGTGTAATGATAAATAAAATACGGGGGGGGGGAACCCAACAAAAAACAAAAACCGGCAACTGAAGCAAGCACTAAGCCCAGGCAGCGTTTCCTCTTCTCCTCTCCGGTGCAGTAGGTGCTTGGAAGCCCTTTCAGGCGGCACGCGCCAGCGTGGTTCAGGTTGCAGTCGGTTTTGTCCACGACTTTTATTGCAGCTGAGAGTTTATTTCAGAGCTGAATTCTGTGGGAGAACATTTTTGCTAGGTTAAAAAAAGTAGATCCCACCAAAGCTGAAGTGGCCAAAAAGGACAAGTATCTTTTCTGTCGGATGAGTTGGAGAACACTAGAGGTTCAGTAAGGAAGTCTTCAACATCTTGTGTGGTGTCACGTCCCCCCCAACCCCCCAAAGCGTTTAACACCATCCGAGAAGACGGTCGGGACAGAGGCCACATTCCTGCTTTTGACAAGTGCACCCTAGTATAGTGTTCCTTTTCCCACAAAACCCACACAGAGGTGTGTCATGCGGAGTGTAAGTTCTTGCTAGGCTGCCGGAGGGGTTCAGGGCCGCAACTTCCTGGGCTAATCAGTGTCACCTCTCACAGCTGCTCTCCCCCAACTCTAAAGGGGACTTTGGACAAGACTCAAATTTCTCTCAGGCCCCTCTAATTCTTACTCTGCTTTACGTGGGCACAAGTGATTCATAAATTAAATTGGATTTTAACCACCACATGCTTTTCCTGGCTGTAAATGCATTGAGGAGGCATTTTTAAGTGGTCTTGAAATTAATGCCTGCCATCCTAGCCTCTCACTCTCATGCCCCCCTTATGTTGTGCCTCTCCTACCACAGGGACTTTCCACCCCTTCTCTCCCCCAGAGGAATTCATCTGGGAATGCAAGAGTTTCAGAGCAGGAAGACACAGGGGTGAGGGAATGGTAAGCAGCACCTCCCAGCGACTCAACTCAGTCATTCTCCAGTTCATTCTAAGAAGAGCATGAGGGCAGGAGGCACTGCCCTCAGGTTCCTTGTTCTTGGAAGCCAGGGCAAACCTCTGTGTGGCCTCCCCCGGAAACCTGAAGAACCAGGAGACCAGCATATGGGTCAGTGCCCAGCAGCTGAAGTTCTTTTTGACTGGTCACAGTGAATTCCAGGCTAACGTCTGAATTAAGCATGCTGGGTGATGACAGCAAAAGAGCAGATCCCTCTTGCAGAGCTTGGCAAGGGATTGACTGATTAATAGCTGTATTGAAAGGTGGGAGTCAGGCACTGGGGAAGAGTTTCAAAGGAAAATTTTCACTTTCTTTCAGACGGTGTATTTTTAGCTCAGTCCTCCTTACTTGCTTTACTCCTGGAGGAAAAATTGGGCTATACAGTTCACTACCTCTATTTTTACCAATATTTTATATATATATATAGATATATATATCTATATATATATATCTGAATGAGAAAAGCTAATCTGCTAGTTAAATAAGTCTGTATTGTCTGCATTGGAATATCTGAAAGGAACAATCAATTCAGTCAGATAACAATACTGATTTTTTCCTTCCTCACTGAACTTGTTTTTTGTTTCCACCAATTCATCTTGTTCCTTGGCATTCCGCAGAAGCTGCTTGAGTCAATAACTGTGACCAAAGAGAGTTCTCAGAGAGTAGACGAATTACCGATGAGGTCCTTTAGGAGTGTGTGTGTGTGTGTGTGTGTGTGTGTGTTTGTGTATGAGAGAGAAAGAGAAAGTAGAAACTTCAAGAAGAATTGCATTATAATTGAGCTAGTATACCTCCTGAACTCTTATAAATGTCAGTCAAATTCATCTAATAACTGTGAGCTGCCTTTAGAATGTCTTTTCTGGGATGCTCCATGCTTTTCCTTTTCAGGAAACGATAATATACCCTCTCTAAATTTATCCTTAAAGTGCTTTGACTTCTCTGCCTAATTTTGTCTCTGTGAGTTATTATCCACACTAAAATAAATTCTCTGTCTTTATGTGCACGCTTAGAGTTTTAGCTATCTATTTAGGAATTTAGGAATAAAGATTACACAGTCACAAAATGCATTAACTTGTAATTTGCCTGGCTCTCCAGTATATCCCCTTGGTGCTTAATAAGGACAGGCCTGATGGGGCCAGGTTGGCATTGCTGATGTGATAAACTGAATTCAGGATGGAGGTTCTTATAAAGAAGTACACCTTAGGTAGCTCCCCTTTTTTATTATTCTCAGATGGCTCAAATTTCTAAAGGGACTTGATAAAAGGTTCTTATCCCCTTGAAAGAATATGTGTAGAGTCACTAATGCCATTTCCATGTATGGAGACAGCAATTTCCTTAGTAACAATGAAGTTAAGCCAGCTCACCCACCAGCCAGGTGCAGCCCTGTGTGTGCTGGACAGCTACACAGACTGACCACTTGCTGGCAGGACCTACCCTCTTCCCTGTCTCTATGTGGCCCAGGTCAGTTAAGGGCTGATAGAGGTTCACAAAGCACATGTCTTCAGGATGCTGAGGCATCCTTGAGGGGTTACAAATGCCTGTAGTGGGAAAATTCCTATGAGAACATCAGGAAAAGGTAAGACTGCTGTTTACGATTTCAATCATAGAACTGACTTAGAATTGAAAACATCACACAGCATACAGAGTGGTAGTGTATTCTGGTCAAATATTCCATTATGCTTTCTGTAACTTACAATGAAAAATAATTTCCTTGGAAAGTGAAATAAAGGTCTCCAGATAAAAGTTTGCTTGAGAATGTATGAATTTCCTATTATTTTCCTTTGCAAGCTACGTACCCAGCATTAGATCTTGGCTGTGGGAAATTGGAGCTCTCCATGAGCTATTCAGACAATCTGATACAGGGTCTGTGGGTTCAGTACACTGTGTGTGTGTAAATGCACAAAACCAGCCTTCATAATTACAAAGACTACTCTTAACCATTTCAAAATTACTAGCAACACCAGGGCCATCATGTTGCACAATTCTAGGGAGAAATAGACTAAAAGTGAGTGGTGTTCTCTGGAGTTGTGCAAGTCAAGTCTTAAATATCAGTTTGGCAAATAGGTGGTGGGTGAGATCCATCTGCCAGGTTTCAGATTATCCTGCTCTAAAAAGACTGCTAATCAAACATGTTAAAATAAGACCGGTAGAGAGGAGGCATGAGCTATTTGATGGGGAGAGATGTGGGGGAAGGAAATTAATTTAGCTTCAAGTTATCTAAAACACTTTCCAACAATAAAAGAACCTCTTGCATATTGGCAGCAGAATCAGATTAAAAACATACAATATGTTTTTTCCACTGTCAGATAAATAATAAGCCTCCAGAGTGCTTTCTGGTTAGGAAGGAAAAGGAAGTCCTGCGTCTTCAAATAAGATGAGAAGCAGAGTGCATTTCTGATGGATGAGTGAGTTTCATGTGCAATCTTACTATAGGAAATAAAAAAAGAGCTTTAAATATCAATCTCTGATTTGAATAAATTATCTTAGAATGTCTAGGTTCTGGAGATTGTGTGTGTGATCAACTTGCTACATATAATGACTCACTTAGCAAGAGGTAACCACAGGAGTGTTTCAGGAATTTTGAAAAATAATTAAAAAGGAAAATGTTGGCCAGTCCTCAGATAAACCTATGATAAGTTTGGTCAGGTGCTTGTTATCCCATGTATGATAGCATTCTTATTTTTATATTTTTGGCCTCACTTCTGCAGTGCTATCTAAAATCACAGATTTTCAGCTTTTGAATTGTGAAAAGAGGAAGTTTAGCTTCAGAAATTAGAAGTTGCAACTTCTAATTTGCACTTCTATGTAACTCCAGTTACTTATCTTTTGAAAGTTTTAAATAGTGAAATCTGAAATCTACAAGTTATTGACTTCTTATAGAGAATAAACAGATTACTTTTGACTTGCAAAGAAATTAAATATTTTCCCATAATATAATTTCCCTTTGACAGTGTTTGCTTTGTAAACTAGTCTGATTTTATCTATAGTACAGTTTACATCAGGTGTTCACTGTGATGTGATAGGTACTGTTTATAAATATCCTGTGAAGATTTATAGACATTTAGATTTATTGTCCAGAGGGACAATAAAGGTTTCCTTTCTGTGCTTATTTGTTTGGGGATTATTTATGAAGAACCAAAGTAGATTCTTCCCCAAACCAGCTTTGCGGTAGGTTTTTAAGCTTTGACTTTGTGGAAGACTAAAGACAAAAGTGGGGAAAGACATACTTGGAGAAAGAGTTAACCATGGTTCATACACAGCACAAGTATTTCTGAACAACCCACTACATGATTGTTGAAAATATTCCCAACCGATGTGTCCCGCTGTGGGCGTGGGAGCCGTTCCATACAAAAGCTTCCTTGTGTCACTAACTTTTCTCATTTCTAATATTTAAAAAAACATTTTGCTGGTGAAAAGGCAACAGTCTTCCAATTAACTTTCTATCCAATTTTTCCTTTTTAGAAATTACAGGAGGAAAAGATTTTAAAGACATTGAGAGTAAATTTTCTCTAAGGACCCCTGAAGACACGGCTGAGGACACTTGCCACCTCCGTCCTGGGGTACCAGAGTCTGTGGCTAACTGCCACTTCAACCACAGCAGCAAAACCTTCGTGGTCATCCATGGCTGGACGGTAAGAAAGGCTCTTCAGGAAGGAATGGATTGGGTGGACCCACATCTCACTCAGCTTGTGTTAGTTGTTGGGAACCCAGTGATGGGTCTCCACATCCCACACTTCTGCTTGTTTCCGGATGGCTTTGCTTTAAAGTTGAATGAAGGCAATTTGGGCTCGGGCCAAGGCTGTGGAATAGAAAGTCATAGAGTCATGAGTACCTCCCCCAGGCCACGTTGACCTTCACTTTACCTTGGGACCCCATGGGTGCCCTCCAACCAGCCATTGCCGTGAGGTGAGAACGGGGCTCTGCTCAGCTGCAGAGCAGAAGGTAGTTGTCACTTTTGGGAATCGCTGGGAACTTGGCAGGATCTTGGTTTACCTAGCACACCACCAGAGGTTCTTTCCTGAGGAAGACAACTGGTGAGAGTGAGAGGGGGGCTGGAGTGGAGTGAGGAGGTGTTTGTTCCAGGCCTGGTTTTGCGGTTCTCCAGCTCTGGGATGTGGATCAAGGTCCTTCTCATCTCTGGGCCTCAGTTTACTGATCTGTAAAACAAAGAGGTGGGACTAGACATCCTGCCACTTCTGACATTGTCCAATTATAAACTTTAAGGAGCTTTTCCAGAGGTGAAAAGGGGGTAGCCAGCAAACTGTCATGCAAGATGGTTAAACTGCAGTGACATTTACTTGTAAAGAGTATGAATAAACCAGGTCTTTCTAAATATGCTGGGTAGTCAGTCTACGTGCTGCAGTTCTTACTGATGTGCTTCAGGTGGCTTTTAATAATTTAAATCCCTAGTGAGCAGACTTCATTGTTTATAAAAAAGGATTTCAATAAAATGATGGTTAAGGAGATATTTTCATTGTGTCAGAGCTTGCAAATGTGGTAATAGGCACTAAATTCTAATGCGATGAGTTAGCTAACGATTGTCGTACTCCTAGTCCCAACCGTTACTGACAGCGAAGGACAGTTGCTAAAACTTTCATGGAGATGAAGGCAACTTCTAATAGAATTTACATGGAAGTTTATTCTAACAAAATATATCTACTTACTAGAGTTAATATAGTAAATTACTTATCTCTTGATAAGTATACAGACTCAGATTCCTAATATAAATCTTTTTATATTTCAGAAGAAAAGACTTAAATAGGAAAAAGTAATTGATGGTGGTTTAGAGATATTTTGATTGCCTATAGAACTTGGCTTTTAACACTTTTCAAAGAACTTTAAACTTAATAAACATTTATATGACAGGAATAAATTGAATATCTCACACAGCTTGTCCCTGAGAGAGTTTTATACTTTATGAATTTTTAAAAAGATTTTATTTATTTATTTTTAGAGAGGGAAGGGAGGGAGAGAGAGAGAGAGAAACATCAATGTGCGGTTGCTGGGGGTCATGGCCTGCAACCCAGGCATGTACCCTGACTGGGAATTGAACCCGAGACACTTTGGTTCGCAGCCTACGCTCAATCCACTGAACTATGCCAGCCAAAGTACTTTATGAATTTTTTAAAAACACATTTTCTGTTTCTTCTCATACTGAGATGACACAACTAACCCCTCATCAGGGCATGGTGTCGATTTCCCTCACCTGTCCTCCCGTCGGCTCAGCCCGTTCTTCACCTTGAGTCCTGGCCTTCTGAGAGCCTGGGCTCAGGGGCTCGGCCGCTTGCTGGGGCTGGGTGTCACTGCACAGAGCTGGCTGGTCTGCACCACCAGCCACGCTGGGCTGAGCTCTCCTCAGTGACCTCCCTGGCGGGTTTGGCTGGACCCCCTGGTGCAGGTGGCCAGGGGGGCTTCAGTTCAGCTGTGTATCTGATAATAACAAATAAAAAAACTGGCACTGATTTAAGGAAGATCAGAAGAAAAGTTTAGAAAATAATACCTTTCCAAAGTTGAAGAAGGTGGGGACTTACTTGGGTTTCGCACCCCTTTTGGTTAGTCATGGTATGTTGAATTCAAAAAGGAAAGATTAGGTTAGTTGACAGGCAGTTAATGCAAAGATCAGTCACAGCAGGAGTGAGTTGGGTTACTTGCTCTCTGGCAGGTTGCCTCATTCGGAAATACCGATAGGACAGAAAAACTTATTATAGGGCCTAACAGCAAACCAGAGTTTCCTGCCTTGTCTGAGGGAAACTGCTCAGCGACTCAGGGGCTGAGGACTCAGGGAAGTGAGGAGGTTCTGCAGCTTTGTCGTAAGAACCTAGAAGGAATGCTGAGCATGCGGGGGTGGGGGGTGGGGGGGGCGTAGGGCACTTCTAGGAAGGCGATTGGACACGGCTGTGCTGGAGCTTTGCCACCTGCTTTAAGCACAGGGTTTGCATTGTGATGTAGGAGGTCCTCATCCCTGGCTGAAAGGAGGAGGGGTTCACATTATTTTCTGAAGGAATGACATCCTTCTCTCTTGAGAAGCAGCTGCTCAGGGTGGCCCCCAGTTTCGAATGGAGGAGAGGGGAGGCAGGACCAGTGTCTCAGGGTTTCATGTGAGGTGGGTTTTCTACAGGTTCTCTCAAAGACCCAGCCTGCGCCCAGACTTGAAGCAGACTCGCTGGGACACGTTCAAAGATGATTTAAGGAAGTTCCTGACGGGCTAACATCACTTCTGTACTTTCTCTTGTTTTTTTCTTCCCACTTAAAATAGCCACAGAGTTGGGATTTTATCACTGCAAGTAAATTGGAAACCAGATGGACCCAAGCAGAGATTCCTGAGGTGGAGGGTGACTTTGAGGTTCCCCAGGTCTGTCCCCTTGGAAGGTGTTAGTAAGGTGAAAGCAGCACCCGCACTGTTCAGAGAAGTAGTGAGTGGAAGAGCTGGGGTTGGAACCAGGATCCTCTGGGCCTCAAGCCTGCTTTTTCACATCACGGAGCACAGCAACGTGGTGAAAGATCGCGCAGTTTGTTAGTGTCAGGAGTGAAGTGAGCCATCACGTTTACATAATTTGGTCTAGAAAATAGACAAAAGAAAATGGAAGCGTAAGTCTGAAAGAATCAACCACATAAATCAAAGTTCCGAATGATGTTTCCTATTTTTTCTACTACAATTCCTCTTAGAAAGTGAAAGGTTTTACAGGGCTCCCCTGAAAAACTGCCATGCACCTGGATTTCAGAATCTTCTTTGCTGAGTACGTGGTGACTGACCTGTACTCAGGCCACAGTATGATCTGCTCTCAGGCTGTATTACTGGTGGGTAGGTTTGGGAACTTAAATCAGGTGGTTGCTGCGTGCAAGTTTATGGCAGGGTGGTGTACAGTTTATAATCTGCAGTTTTTAAAATGCGTTTCCACTGTTTCAAAGCACACATCCTTTCACAGGAGTCCAATGTCTACATAAACAGAGTTAATTTGAGGACCCCATAGTTCTTTTGACTTTGAATTTTGGGGCCTTTTTTTAAAAACAAGAAACAAAGAATTAGTGTTGGCAGTCTGCTTAGCTCCAAATAGGACCAATATAATAACTAGGGAAATATGAGCATCAGATGTCACTAATTTCCACACTGATAATGAAGAATTTGAGAGATTTATGAAAGAGTCTGAGCTGAAGTTGATCATTTTCTTATGTATGAAGAGATTGCTAAACAAATGTACCTTCTTTTGGGAGAGATTAGCATGTTTAAAACTCTTAGCATGTTTGAAACTATTTTTTATTAGCACATCAACATTATATGTAACCCTTTTATAAGAAAAAAGTGCATTTATAGCTGCCAAAATAATTCTGTTGGGAAACATTTATTAGCATAATTGATAGTATTGAAATGGATTTTAAAAATAAAGATAGTCTGTAACTCTGCTGAAAAGTTTTAACTTGTTCAGATTGATCTTTTTTAATACCATGAATTATTGACATTTTCCTGATTCATAAAACATGCTGTTAAAATTGAAAGCGTGGTAAACTGCCATCTGCCATCCCTGAGCTCAGCACACCCTTCTGCGGGCATCCTCAAGTTTGTCTCGGGAGGGGTGGGCACAGTCTCTGAACAGTCTCTCGCGTGGTTTGGTTCTTCTGTCTGAGCCTATGGTTTCCTCGTGAGTTTGTTTTTTCCCGCTTAATGTAGGTATAGTGGCTGACATATCTGGACAAGTTGCAGTTAGGTATTCTAAGAAAGCTTGCATTGTCCTCTTCAGGTGACAGGAATGTATGAAAGTTGGGTGCCCAAACTTGTGGCTGCCCTGTACAAGAGGGAACCTGACTCCAACGTCATCGTGGTGGACTGGCTGTCGCGGGCTCAGCAGCACTACCCAGTGTCGGCGGGCTACACCAAGCTGGTGGGAAAGGATGTGGCCACGTTTATCAACTGGATGGAGGTGAGACTGGGGGGAGAGGCCTCATGTACCCAACACAGATCTGCTGGCTAGAGCTGGACCAGTGGCTGGTCTTCGTTCCTTTCCACTTAGATATAGGTATTTTCTGGGGCAATTCAAATCTGTAGGATGGACACTGGCATTATTTTTTATCCAAAAGCAGCATTATGATAAGAATGATAAAACTATACAGTGGCCTGCCCTTCTCTGTCCTTAGATATTTTCATAGTGAATAGATTTGCTGAGACCAAGAACTAAGTGGGCAGAACAGAGAAAAGCTTGTTATTTCTGGACATCCGGAAGATGTCTTGTTCGGGCCATTCCTTCCCTATCAGTTGGCTGGCACGTGCAATTTTACCCTGCTCTGACCCGTTAGGAGACTCATCTCCTTGACGAAGATATTACTAGAACGTATTCCTTAGAGTGGGTTAAAGACCCACATTTTTGTTGAGCGCCACGGGAGGGATGGGGTTGATCAGGAAGAACATGGCGGGGACAGTCCATAGGATGTGAGGTGGCCCAGGGTCAGGAGTTCTAACTTACCTGCCAGTTTTACCTGTGCAACTCCTGACACCGTCCTCTGAAACCTACCTTTGGAAGGTTTCTTGGGGCTGAAAGGAAGCTAATTCTGCGATAGGGCCAAATGACTGAAGTCAGATGCTTGGAGGTAAACAATAAGCTATGCTTATTGGACTGACCCTTAAAAGGTTGACCATTGACTCTTTTGCTAACATGAACTTGGGCAAATCAGATCACCCCTGGCTTCTCACCCCATCTGCTGAATGAGGAGGCTGGACCATGCGTGTCTGCATTCTCTTCCCTTGTAACAAACACTGCCTGATTTTTAGTCCTTGCTTGGCTAACCTTCAAGAATAAAGTGATGCAAGGCATTTAGAGTAAGAAATAATGGGCTAAGGTTAAATTTGTATGTGTGTGTGTTTCTATACATGCACATATATCTATATTTAAATCTACACAGCATATATGTGCATACAGATGTTTTCAGATGTATGGAAATTAAGATTTCAGATATATTGAAATACTTTCTAAATCAAAGACATTGTTAAGGGAAAAGAAAGATCTCAACATTAGAGTGTATGTCTTTGTTATCTGTAACACACAATTTAAGTAAGTAGAATTAGTTTTCAGTATTGCCAGTATATTGAAAACAATATTTATATTCATTCATTTTACTTCTTTTAGCTTTGATCTCTTGCAAAGAACTGTAAGAGCCTTTTTCTTCTTTCTCTCTTCCGAAGGAGGAATTTAACTATCCTCTGGACAATGTCCACCTCTTGGGGTACAGCCTTGGAGCCCATGCTGCGGGTGTTGCAGGAAGTCTGACCAATAAGAAGGTCAACAGAATCACCGGTAAGAAGGCAGCGCCATTTCATTTCTCTTATAACAAAAGAGTTGAGATGCCTGCCATCCTGAAAGAGGGTGAGAATGTTTGTCAAATGCCCATATGTGTGTGTGTGTTTCTGGGTTTGCCCAGCCACTTGATTATGTCACGGGAGGGCTCTTTTCTGCAGTGAGATGGAATATCGGCCCTCGCTCTCCTGGGCGGGTCTCCTGGCTGAAGAGCAAGAGAGCAGAGACAAGCACAGAGAGCCCACTGGTGTCCCTCCTCCCTCCCCGCCGGGCTTTGCTAGTGCGCTGCCCACGTGCCACCCCTCCCGTCAGGACTGGGAGAATGAAAAAGAACCACCACCATGTGGAGATAGGAGTACACTCACGTGGGCCAGGGGTAGTAGATGGTTTGGCGCATTCAGAGAGGAAGGAAGAACCTGCCAGAGAGGAAGGGCCCTTTATCAACTTCAGAAATAACTTACGAAAGGAATCAAGTCATCCTGTGAAAATTTCTAATTCATGGTTAGTGTAAGAGTCTCAAATTCCATTTTAGAAGGACCTAAACCTACTTTTCTAACTCCCAGTAATTCAAAGGTCTAATCACTATTCAACAAGAACTAATAAGCATCTGTGTGGCTGCCAATTCTGCTCAAGTGGTGAGCCGTGGAATGCTAAGGTGATACCGATGGGGACTGAGAACAATAGGAATTTAAAAATCTCTGAGGCTTTTTTCCCCCCACAAAGGCCTAGATCCAGCTGGACCCAACTTTGAGTACGCAGAAGCTCCAAGTCGCCTTTCTCCCGATGACGCGGATTTTGTAGATGTCCTACACACTTTCACCAGAGGGTCACCTGGCCGGAGTATTGGAATCCAGAAACCGGTGGGGCATGTTGACATTTATCCTAATGGAGGCACTTTTCAACCAGGCTGTAACATTGGGGAAGCTATCCGTGTGATTGCAGAGCGAGGCCTTGGAGGTAAATATAATTTAGAAGTTAATGAAATGCAAGTTGTGTTCTTAAGTCTTTTTGGCCCAGTGTCAAACCATTCTCCACAGATATGTTGTTTTAATATGCACATTCAGCCAAGTTACCACTCAGATGAAGTGCCAGGTTCAGCGTGGTCCCCTTCCTGTGGTCAGTCAGGCTTTTCCTCTCTCATGCACCTCGGCCCAAACCTCACTGAGTCCTGTACTCACGGTGCACAGACAAGACGGGTGCGGTTTAGACGAGGAGGCCCCACCGCCTTCTGGCAGCATAAATGCTCTCCGGCCGCCTGCTGTCACACTTTGAATGCAGTTGCAAAACAAGTAGAGTTATTTTGGACTTATAACTTTAAAAGTTAACAAGATAACTTAAGAGTTATTTCAGATAAATAAATCACCATTCTCTAACAACAAATGTTCTCAAATTTTAAGAAGAAAATATAATATTTGCTTAATAGTTGCTTTAATAATTGTGGTAGCTTGTGTTTAATGTATTATTTGTTATAAGGGAACTTCGCATGCTTTGTGGACAGTGGGAAGCACCTGTGGATAATATGCTCAGGGCTTTTGTGCACATCATAAAACTTACAGCGTCATGTTACTATTTTCAATTATTATAAAAGTTTATAGTAATAGATATATCCTTATAACATCGATGATTATTTCTATGATTCATTTAATGTAAAAATCATGAGTAGTAACAGAACCCTACAATTTTATGTAGCATCTATGATCAAATGATATTTATTTAATAATTATGCTCTTATGATATGGTTTCTAGAATTATGTTTCTAGAAGCATCTGGAATCATTATATGATTTAGATATAGAGCATATAATAAAACTGGGTGAAGTCAACGTCTGCCTTGGATAGCTCATATTATAGCTTCCTATACACACAAGTATAACAGCGGTAAAGCCATAGGTTCCCTGTACATTTGCAACTTTGACGTTATTGGAGGTGGGTGAGAAGCTGCCACCGAGGATACCTCCGTACATAGAACATATCATCAAAAAGTCTTAGGACTAGATCCTGAGGTCATTTGATTGTTAACACCACACCTGAGCTCTTTTGGACATGCTAGGTGAGGCGCTCATCGAGGACTTCTACAGAGTTGAAGTTCTCTTTGCTTCCATCCTCCCCAGATGTGGATCAGCTCGTGAAGTGCTCCCATGAGCGCTCCATTCACCTCTTCATTGACTCTCTGTTGAATGAAGAAAATCCCAGTAAGGCCTACCGGTGCAATTCAAAGGAAGCCTTTGAGAAAGGGCTCTGCCTGAGCTGCAGAAAGAACCGTTGCAACAATGTGGGCTATGAGGTCAACAAGGTCAGAGCCAAAAGAAGCAGCAAAATGTACCTGAAGACTCGTTCTCAGATGCCCTACAAAGGTAAGCTCGAGACTGCTATGAACAGGAAAACCAATCTGATCCTGTTTTCCTTTTTCTTGTTTTGTCATGCTCATTGCATCACACGCACTGATGCTGTTCATTGCAACAGAGGTGATAACATGGTGTTACTACACACTGAGCCCTCACTTGTGTGTTTGTGGGTAGAGAGGAAGTTGTGCTGATCCACTTCACTCAAGTCCGACCTCCCATTGCCAGCAAGGCCCAGGGCACACCCGGCACCGCCCTGTGCGGCAGCGCTGCTGGCCGCCCTCCTCTGTAACGTGACCGTTAGTGTGTGCCTGCCGTGGGCACCAGGCTCCGAGTTCATTTGGAACCATCCGTTCAGGGTCAGCAAACTACGGCCCATGGGCTGCATCTGGCCCACCACTTGCTATTGTAAATAGAGTTTTATCAGAATAAAGTCGCTTGTGTTTGTTTCTGTATTGACTAAGGCTGCTTTCCTGGGACAGAGACTGTATGGCCTGCAAAGCCTCAAATATTTACTATCTGGCTCTTTACAGAGAAAGTTTGACAGCTCCTAAAGTTTGCTTTAAGTGAAGGCAAGAACCCCCTCTATTTTAAAATAGAACTGTCTCTGGGAGGGAGAATATACCAAGCCTCCTGAGGTATATCCATATCATTATGAATTTGTTCTCTCTTGAATTTCGAACATGGCAGCTTGCTTAGAGCAAGACCTACAGGAACTGAGGGGACACAGGAGAGGAGACAACCAGGTACCCGGCAAGAAGGACTAGCGGCGGGAGGGCTGGCTGACGTGGAGTCAGTGGCAGTGCCAGGGAAGGAAAGGCATTAAAGAACAGTTCCCCACAGAGCAGGTATCTGACGGAGGCATCCGTTCGTAAGGTGCTTTGTGACAATCTCTAGAGGTGCATTCGGTGGCCCAGAGGTTTGGAGCACCTCTCATTCAGGGAGGCCTTGTAAGTCATGAGAGATCCCTCGCGCTCCCTGGCTCTTCAGGATGAAGGCGTGTGTGTGAGGTGCAGAGGAGACCCAGGTGTTCCTGCGGCACCACCCAGAGCTCCGCCACGTGTCTGAGGTGCTCCGGCAGGCCCGGCCGCTCCTGCAAGGCTCTGTTTCACCTCAGATCTGTTTCTCTTCACCCTGTAGTAGTTGTGCTTTAAGCCTGCTGCCTTTCCTATACCCTCTTCTTCTCCTCCATCCCATCTCCTCAGGGTTTTTGATACGGCTGGACAGAGCAGGGAGGAGAGGTTCAAGTTCAGGTACCAGCCTCCAGAGGCTGTCTCCCACACAGGACGCTTTAGGATCTGGTGGTCTGTCCAGCCTTGCTGGTGATACAATGAGACAAGTTTTATTGGGAGACTCTATGCTAGACGATGGGAGGACAGAGGATGAGTATGATCCCCTGACCCGAGGGAGCGTAAGCACAGTGTAGGGAGGCCGGACAGACCCATGAAACATGAAGAAACATAGTCACAGACACTGACACAGTAACAAATGCCAAATATGCTTGGTAGAGATGCCAAGGGGCCAGCTGGCCAAGAAAGAGGTGGAGTTCATGGAGAAAGCATCGTGGGAAACGTGGCCTCTTGATGTCACCTCCCCAGTACCCCATCAAAGATGACTGCTTTCTGGGCCTGCTAGGCAATTCAGACACACCTGGACTTCCCTATCCACCATTACATCACTTTTTTGAAAGGGAGTAGAACTCAAGGTTTGAAGTGCCTAGTAGTGGACACTGTATAGACATGAAGAAATCTTTTTAAGCCACCCTGACTATCCTGTGTGCACACTTCTTGCCTGACCCTTAGTGAAATCCAGTCTGTGGTTCTGAGTTGCCTGCTTCTTGGGGGGCTGTGGTGTTTCCATTAAGACTGATCAGCACCTGCTTCAACTTTCTCCCTACAGTCTTCCATTACCAAGTAAAGATTCACTTTTCCGGGACCGAGAGTGACCTGCAGACCAACCAGGCTTTTGAGATCTCTCTGTATGGCACGGTGGCCGAGAGCGAGAACATCCCTTTCACCCTGTGAGTAGCACACGGCCAGACCTCCCGCCTGTGGGCTCATTGCACACCGCCACCTGCCCTAACCATTGGTCTGAGGAACAGGAGAGGAGTAAGCCACGGAGCAAAAGAAATATCCAAAAGAATTTTAGAAAGCTGTACAGCAGAAATGTCCGTTATAGTGGTGCATGTGATGGCATGGGCCAGAAACGAAGTAAACATCCATCCACACTGAGGCTGCGGTTGAGTGAGCTGGGATTTAACAAATTGGCACCACCAATCTAGCCTCTAAAAATGAGGACTCTATAAAACTAAGTGAAACAGGGCAAGAGTGGAAGTAAAATATGAAGTGAACAAAGAAAGAGCAGAATTGTACGTGCACTGTGATTGTTACAAAAGACACACATGTTCACATGTCAATGCAAATCGAAAGAGAATCCATGAAAATCATGTCTCTGGATGATGAGCTAATGGATTTTTTCTCTTAAAATTGTATTAAATTGTTCATATTGTTAGGATAAAAGTTAGAACTGATTAAAGGGGCAGAGCTATGTTTTGAAATACACTAAATGCCATTGACATTCATATTGAATATTTTGTTGGGCATTTTTTGCATTTTTAAAATACCTCCCAAACAATAAAACTCTTTATATCTTGGGAGGAAGAAAAGGGGGAAAAACCCCTTGATTCCCAGAACTAACCAAATTTGCTGATTTCTGTGCTCAGGCCTGAAGTTTCCACAAACAAGACATACTCCTTCCTCATTTACACGGAGGTGGACATTGGGGAGCTACTCATGCTGAAGCTCAAGTGGAACAGTGACTCCTACTTCAGCTGGTCCGACTGGTGGGGCAGCGCTGGCTTCACTGTGGAGAAGATCAGAGTAAAAGCAGGAGAGACTCAAAAGAAGTAATTGCATTTATTTTTCTTCATTCCCTTTAGACTTCTCTCTGATAGCATTACCTAGAGATAGTATTTCTGAAGCCTGCCACACTCAGGTGAAATTTTTTTAAAAATATTTTATTTATTTATTTATTTATTTATTTATTTATTTATTTTTGAAGAGAGGGGAAGGGAAGGAGAAAGAGAGGGAGAGAAACATCAGTGTGTGGTTGCTTCTCATGTGGCCCCCACTGGGGACCTGGCCTGCAACCCAGGCATGTGCCCTGACTAGGAATCGAACTGGTGACCTTTTGGCTCGCAGCCCACACTCAATCCACTGAGCTATACCAGCCAGGGTCAGGTGAAATTTTAATAAGCTTTGTCGTTAAAACTGTATCAGCTAGTAAGTGAAATGAGTCAGACAGAAAGATGAATACTGTATGATTTCACTTGTATGTGGAATCTGAAAAAACAAAATAAGCAAGCAAACAAACAAAACAATCAGACTCATAGATACAGAGGACAAACTGATGGTTGACAGATGGGATGGGGCTTGGGGGGCTGAGTGAAAAGGGGGAGGGATTAAGAAGTACAAATTAGCAGTTGCAAAATAGTCATGGGGATGTAAAGTACAGTATAGCTTTGGGAATATAGTCGATAACTGTGTGGTACCCGGTGGGCACTAGACTTATTGGGGGAATTACTTAATAAATTACGTAAAGTTTAACCATTATGCTGTACATCTAAAACTAATATAAAGTTGAATGTCAATTGTAATCTAAAAATTTAAGGAAAGTGTATCAGCTAGATAATTACACCTATATATTTATTGCTGAAGTGTTCTTTAACTGTCATACTAGGGAAGTAGTAGTATACCTGAATTTCATGGAAAGATGGCATGAGCCTCTATTGGTCCCAGTTATGAGTGACAGCTGAGAGGAAAAGTTGGGAATCTCAGCTTCTTGTTTTGTATGGCTTCTTGCAAGCACAAAGCAGTTATGGAAAGAACCTTGGAGATGTTACTTTAATGTTCGAAGACTAGCACCAACCTCTTCAGGAAGGATGAGATGCCAAGAGCATCTCACCCTGTCTCCCCAGGCCCACCCCACACATATCTATAAAACGAATTGCGTAGAGAACCCCATAGGACTGAGAGCTTTTATACTAAATGGACAGGGGTTTTGCAACTACAGTGTTACTGTAATATTGTTCATGCAAATATGGTGTTTTAAATTAATATGGATAAGTTATTATTTCTCTTTTGTCATTTTCTTTGATAACAAATAAAAAGAGAAGGAGAGGTTGTGGCTGGAAGAGCAGAGCCCTCGTTTCTCTGGCAGAGCCAGCGGGCGGCTGGTTCGGGAAGCCCCTAAGGCACGCACTCAGGGTTGGGGAGATTGGTCTGGCATCAGCTCGTGGTGAGAACCTTGTGGTTTTAAGGCCACTCCAGGCTCTTTGTATGCAGTTTAGATTGATTAACTGGCTTTATTGCTGAATGGTGGGCCAGGCCCTCAAATAACCCTCTGACTCAGAGGTGTGACTGGCCAGAATGGCCTGCATGTCAACAGTTAATTGTTGAAAATATCAAAAACAATTAATTAGACGGATCACGTGGGATTTAAACAGCCCTGACCCAACCACCAGTCTTTGAACCGCCTTTTTCATGGCTACACATGGCACGCTCACACCCATGTTTTTCCTCCCAGGGTGGTCTTCTGCTCCCGTGAGAAAGTGTCTCATCTGCAGAAAGGGAAGTCATCTGTGGTATTTGTGAAGTGCCACGAGAAGTCCCTGAATAAAAACTCTGGCTGGTGAGCGTCAGGGGCCAAAGCCCCCAGGGTCTGTGGGCTGGTGTGCCAAGGGTGCTGCTGTGTGCGGGGCCGTGCACCCAGAACTGCAAGCCCATGTTGATTCCTGTGATCAGAGCCTCCTGGAGTCTTCCTAGCCCTTCCGTATAGACATCAGACTGGTCCTTTTGCTTTGGGCAGTACTTGTTCTTTTATTCTGTCTCTTTCTGCTCTTTCTGCCCGCTCTAACCTCCATCCCTGGCACACTTTTTAGAGTTTATTTCACTTCTTGAACAACCACAAAACCTCCGCTTGTGCTTTCCCCTGCACAGCATTCCTGCTACCTCGACGATTGTGTGTGCAGAGCATGTGGCACACGTTAGCAGTCTCGTGGCTGTGGGTGCAGCTCCTCGTGGGGCGCATCCAGGAGAGCGAAGCAGCAGCTGCAGCCACATAGTCTTTATGATGTTCTAAGTGCTGGCTGACCCTGGGGCAGAGGGCCCAAGGGGCAGCCACCAGCATCCATCTCAAAACTCCAGAGGTGGGGAGTTAGTGGAGGTAGTGTAGGGGACAGTTCTCGTTCTCTTTTCCATCTCAAAACGGCTCCCTGGCTCTTTCCCACCTGACCTTTCAGGCTAATCCGTGTGGCAGCTGTCAGATGAATTTTTCCAGAGCGTCAGTACTAAGTGGAGACGGAGCATGTGATTTTCCCCATCCCTTCCTGACTCGCTGCCCTAGGCCGGTTCATCCCTCCACTCACTCCCCTGCCAGGAGAAGGCTTACATCTTGTCTCACCAGCCAGGGACGCAAGAAGCAGTGGGGAAGGCTAGTCACAACGTTATCTGCAAACAGAAAAAGCAATCACTTTTGGTTTGCCTTTTCCCAGTTACATTTGTGGACAAAAGTACAGAGTAAGAGTTGCCTAGTCAGAAAAAGCACATTAAAGACCCTATAGGAAAGATCTCTTTTATTTTTAATTAGTATTTTATAATGTAAGTTATCCATGGATAATTATGGGTTATGGATAGATTAGAAAAGAGAGGCAAAAAGGAAATAAAATCACATGACTCTGTGGCCCAGGGACAACCCTGGGTTAGTTAGCATTTTAATGCGCAGGCAGACCTCACTTTACTGCGCTCCCTGGACACTGCGTTTGTAACACATTGAAGGTTCGTGGCCACCCCGCATCCAGCAAGTCTATTGGTTCTACTTTCCCAACAGGTTCAGATGATGTTTAGCAGTTTTTAGCAATAAAGTATTTTTAATTAAGGTATGTGCATCATTTTTTAGACATAAAGCTATTGCACACTTAATTGACTACAGTATACCGTGAATTTTCTGTGCTCTGAGAAACCGAAACATGCGTGTGACTCACTTTAATGTGACACTTGCTTTTTTGCAGGGGTCTGGGACTCATCCTGCAGTATCTCTGAGAGACACCTGTGTGTATTTCCAGGTTTTCTCTATGCACAGATAATATTTATATTATTTTACAAAAACGGAATCATGGTATATGCACTTGGAGTGCAAGGTGGGGCCATCTGGATTGAGAACGTTCATGCAGGACACTCAGGATAAACTTGAATGGAGAATAGTTACTGGCATTGAGCCAGGCAGAGTAACTGAATTCTTATTCTAGTGGAGACTGTTTTACTGAGAGGTTCTTTGCTTTGTTTTTCCTCATCACAAATTTGAGGCAATTTCACATTTGCTTCAACTCTTAGAAAGGGACTCCTATGCCTGAATCCATGTCACATAAAAACATACACAAATGCACACATACACATACATTCTCCATTCACAACTTTAAATCTATACATGAATGTAAAAAAAGAAAAAAGAAAAGAAAAGAATCCTAGATTAGGAAATAATTTCATTTGTTTATAAGGTATTTCTGGTCATATTACTTATAGGTTACCAGAATTTACCTGAGAAAGTCTAATGACACATTCTTTGTCTGATTATAGGATTGCTGAGACAACAGATACTTAGGCAAGTTTTTAAAAAAATGCATCTGAACTTTACCTAAGAGGTAGTTATGAATCAGATTAATAAGCTTCTGCAGTTTCCTTGTGATTAATCAAACAAAAGCTTTTGTTTCTCTTATCTTCTGACATAACTCTTGAGAAGTCTCATGTCACAAGAAAAAAAAAACAACAGGCATTTCATTTGGCAAGTTTTAGAAGTAATATATCTTCCTAAATTTCGAAATCATTTGGTTTAGTCTTCTGAAAATGATACGCTTTACTGGGACATGGCTAAGTAGATGCTGGTGTGCCTGCCCTTTCTAGGAACCCACCACTTTCTCTGGCCCATTACCCGAGTTTCCCCTGGGTTTATTCTCATAACTTCGTTCTGAACTTGCAGTTGAAATCCTTTTCCTCCCGAAGTGGTGGGGGAGGGGAGAGGGTTGTAAAACTCTAAGCAGATAATAAATCACCCTTTCTTCTCTCTTGCTCTCTTTTTTTTTTCTCAGAAACTGGGCAAACCTACAGATGGAAGAACAGCGCATGAGTTCTGTGAAGAAGGAAGTAACTTTTACAAAAGATGCCCAGAGCTTTGGGTGGTTAAAAGTGAATTTTCCTGAGTATTAATCCCAGCTATCCTTGTTAGTTATTTTAAGAGACAGTCTCAAATACTACAAAGTGGCTAATTCAACTTGAGGAGTACAGTGGCCAGATAGCACATCCTACAACATTAAAAAACAGCAGGTATGAAGAACTCTGCATTCTGTCCCTTGAGAAAGAAACAAGAATTGTTTGGGCCGTGGTACAATAATAAAGCTTCTTTATGTGATGAGTTTAGCCATAGACTACAATTGATTGAAACCTCATATTTTAATCGGAATTCTGCATTCTCTGGATTGATACTTTCTCAAAGTTCACTCCAAGTCTGAGCATAGAAAATACTCTTTTCTGGCCTGAGTTCGACCCATTTCCTGACTGGTCTAAACACCTGTCCTGTTGGAACGGTTTCCCTCTTGTCACTGGAAGCGGTTCAGGAGCGAACCAGAAACCTGTGGTCTGGAGCGAGGAAGGGAGAATGGAGTTGAACTGAACCTTTAAACAACTCTGTGTGGCTGGTTGCATCATAACTAAGTTACAAATTAAAGGAGATATAAAATTTAGAACAATTAAATCTTAACAGGCTTTACAGTTTATTGCTTAATCTCTTCCTTTTCTTGCTTTGTCTCAGTTATATTTTAACAACGCTCCCTCGGTAGGTGTTAAAAGGAGCCTGTCATGCTCAGCTGACACATAATTTTAACTATGGAGAAAGAAAGTGATCCCATGATTTTAGTACCAGATTTTCAAAAGTGTGTTCACCGGTCTGAAGTCATGTACTATCTGGCGGTTCCCACTCAGTCTCAGGCCTGCCGCGGCCACACCCCAGTCACACTTTGAGTGTCTCTTCCCTGGTTCCGATGAGAAAACGTGTTCGAAGTCAAATTTTGCATCCCTCGAAGGCCTACAAGTTTTAGACAAGGGCCGTTTTTAGTAAGTAGAGAGATGGAAAAACCACTGGGACAAATTTATAAAAAGTGCTTACAACCCTTGAGGGAGATGGAAAGAATCCTCAGTTGCCACAGCCACACGCAGTGTCATTGGAGTTGTTTTTAATGAGTCAGGAGTGAGTGAGTGATTATTTATAATCTAGATCTCCTGTGTTCAGTTGCTTTTCTATATAATTAATATAAAATTATAAAGAAGTCAACTATCTCAGAGGCTGTTGTGGGGAACCCAGACTGTGAACATGTTGCGGGCACCTGCACACACATCCGCAGAGAAAGCCCCACCCGTGCGCTAACCACTCAGCACCGCTTGGGAGGCGGGCGATGGAGAGGTGCAGGGGTTTGTAGGCCCTTCATCCGAGGGGCACGGCTGCACCTGTGCGGAGCAGGGTGAATGCTGGGATCGATATCAGCCAGTCTGGCACGAATTCTCTCTGAAAATAAAATGTGTGATTTGTGGTTGGCCTTCCCCCTTTATTGTTAATTCATTAATTTTCCAGATTTGGGTTTTGAGCAAGGGTACATAAACTCAAGAACGTGAATCAAATCAGTGTATGGCCCTGGAAACTCTGGCTTCTCTAGACTTCACTACAAATTATATATTAACAGTGCTTTGGCTTTACATGTTATTTATTAGCTGTAAATACATGTGTGTATGTGTAAACGGGGGTTGTACATATCGGGAAAGTTGCCATGGCAATCTGCATTTCTAGATGTGTGGTGCTAACTTTGTACGTGTCTTTATCAGTGCTGGTCTCGCTGGGTCACCATACTCTGGTGACGTAATGCAATGAAATGGGCTTTCAGAAAAAACAAACTTACTTAACTATGTGAAGTTTTAATAAAGTTGACAAAATTTTATTACAGCATTAAGTCATCATTTTGTATTATTTTAGTCCCCTAAAATAGAAATTTACTCTTAGGGCAGATTCATTCAGCACATTTTTACCGAGTAACTGCTATACTTAGTAAAAAAACACAGCTTCTAAAAATAACAGTACACACTATGTGTATTTTTTATATTTACCTTTGTACAGGACCTTAGGGATCCTTTATTCACTTATTTGTCAACACATGACAGCCCATGGACCAAATAATCTACTATAATCCATTTTTACATGGCCCACAAGCTAGGAGTTTTTTTTTAATAATTTTTAATTTTTCAATTCCAGTTGACATGCAATATTATATTAGTGTCAGGTGTACAGCATAGTGATTAGACATTATGTAACTTTCAAAGTGGTCACCCTGGTATTTTTAGTGCCCACCTGCCACTATACGGGCTAGTACAGTGTTAGTGACTGTATCGCCTGTGCTGTACTTTACATCCCCGAGACTATTTTTATAACTGCCAATTCGTATTTCTTAATGCCCTCACCCTTTCCCTCCATTCCTCCGACACCCCTCCCATCCGGCAACCATCACAATATTCTCGGTATCCATGAGTTTGTTTCTGTTTTGTTTGTTGATTTACTTGTTTTTTAGTTCCACACATAAGTGAAATCATATGGTATTTGTCTTTCTCTGCCTGGCTTACTTCACTAAGCATATTACCCTCTAGGTCTCTCCATGTCTTGGAGAACCTTTAAACTTAACTACGGATGAAAATGATACAGAATTTTCCTCAATAAAATACATAGTAACTTTTCTTGCCTGCAGGATAATTTTCCACAAAATGTTAGATTAACAGAAAAACATCTTTGACCATTTTCTGGAATACATTGTCTTTTTCTGAGGCCTAAATGTTAGCTGCAAAGAGATTGGCATTTACAATAAAACAAACTATTGGAACGGGAGGTGCACAGTTCAGAGCTTTGGCTGGGCTGTGGTGTGGTGGAAACGAACACAGGAGAGCACCCACGAGGCTAAGGAGGGGTCGCTTCTCAGGACAATCGGGAAGAGTTTTGTCCAGAAAACAGCGTTTCAGTGGCCCCTGACCAGAAATTGTATTGCTAGTTAGGCATAAGGTTTTCTGGAGCTGGGGTATCCCTGAGAGGAAGAGACTCCCCATTTCACACTTTCCCCACTGCTAAGCAATGCTTGCTGCTGTAATAAAAAAGGCAGACAATGGAGGATTTGGTGAGGATGTGGAGAAACATGAGCTTACACACATTGCTGGTGGCAGTGTGAAATGGTGTAGCCACTCTAGAGAATAGTTTGGCAGTTTTCTGAAAAATTAACTATAGAGTTTAACCCTTGTGACCCAGCAATGCCATTGGTTGGGTATATACCTAAGAGAAATGCAAACATGTGTCCACTGAGATTTGACAGAAATGTCACAGTAGCATGATTCATAACAGCCCCAGAGTGGAAGCAACCCCAGTGCTCATACACTGGTGAAGAGGTAGACGAGATGTCCACACAAATGAGTATTGTTCTGAAATTAGAAGAACGAACTTCCGGAACAGGCTGCAGCGTGGATGCACCCTGAACCACGTTGGCTGTACGAAAGGACCACATGCAAGAGACCACATATTGTGTGATTCCACTGGCATGAAAGCTCTAGAAAAGGCAGTATATAGAGACAGTAGATTTAGTGGTTGCCTGGGGAGGGGACTGGAAAGAACAATTGACTATACATGGATATAAGGGATTTTTTTGAAATGATGGAAATTAGATTGTGGTTGGAAAAGGACAATTGTGTAATTTGCTAAAGAATCATGGGACTGTACACTTCAAATAGGTGAATTTTATGGCATGTAAATTTTGCTTCAAAAAAGGTCTTAAACATGTATACCCCTAGACCTGTGGGGATAGACATGACCACATGCTATCCCCATATGTGACCTGGGAAACTGTATTCTGTGGACCCACCTCTCTGGCCCCTATGGGAGGAGCTCTGCAGGGCTCACCACCGCCTTCTCACACTGGCCTCGAATTTCCCTAGGGCCAGCATATGGCAGAGTTTGTCCTAAGTGAACGCTGTCAATAAACTTGCCCTATTAAGAATATCTTATTTTAAAATGTCCTGATTCAGTAAGATTACAGGTCCATTTGTGATATGTTTCTCTTACTGTAGAAATGCTAATGTCTAGAAAATTGCACTCTGAAATGCATCTCATTGGGAATTCTCCATAGTTAGAATACCACTAAATAACCATCTTTGGAAGTAGCAGTATTATTAGAAGTCACCTAATACAAGACACTCAATCTTTAGCTGACATAATGAGCCCAGAGAGGTTGAGGGACTTGCCTGAGGTCGTAGTTCTAGTCAGCGGCACACACGGGCCTAGAACTTGTTCTTACTGGTTATGCTCTGAGTATCCACGTTTCCATCATTCTGTCTCCTGAATACTTTATGAATTATTTGCTTCATTTTGAGTTTGCTTCACATACAAGCACAACACCATACACTTCCCATGAGAAGGTGCATGCTTGGGACTTCTAATAGAATAAATGAATTTGCACTAAAAGCCTCACATGTCTGCATGACCCGTGATGCAGTGTGTGTGCAGTGGGGAGCTTCCCCACTGAGGGTACTCCATACCAGGGATACCAACTAAGTTCATTACACTTCAGGTCTTCATACATCATCCCAGGGTTCTAGACAGGGAACTATGGGGCTGAAGACCAGCTGTGTGCAGAACAACTGGAATAGTGCAGTAACCAGCCAGCAAGTCAGTTCCAAAGGTCCTCCTTTCCTGGTATTGGCATGCTTGGGCAGCTTCTCCCCACACTGTACCATACAGCAGAAGTGATGGCATGTCACTTCCAAAAGTAGGCTGTAATGGGACCGTGACTTCCATTTTGGTTGTTCTCTTGTGCCATCTGCTTCTCTCGGATCACTTGCTCCAGGGGAAGCTGTTTTGTGGCTGATTCCATGGAGAGGCCCACACAGGGAGGAGCTAACACCTCCCATCAGCAACCACAGGGCAAGCTCAGAAGCAATGCCACACAACCCAGGCGGGCATCCAAGGGCGCAGCCCTACCAAGAGCCTGAATGCTGCCCCGCAAGACTGAGCAAGACACTCCCAAATCCTTGGCCCATAAAAACTGTGAAATAGTGTTGATTGTTTAAAGCTGCTAAATCTGGGGCTATTTCGTAATGTAGCAATAGATAACAAATACACATAGTTTACTTACCTGATAGGTGACACTCCAATAGTTATTTATAAATTGAACATTTAGAAAACCATGTTTTGAAAGAACCTGGGAAGGTTATATTTTGAAAGAATCCTCTTTTCCTTCCTCTGGCCTTTCTGTGGTAAGGCAAAAGGTAATGAATAATCAGCTCTTCGATTTCTATTTCTGTTGTGTTTCATTGTTGTTTTTACAAAGTAATACGGTTCCTCCACATAATAGGTTTATTTTAAAGTCATGTCCAGTGAGATTTGGGGCTAAGAATAACTAACCCACTAACTTACCACTAAATTCTTTCAGAAAACTGATTTCACACACAAAATCTTGGAGATTCCTGGGCTTGGAAATTCTCTGTTTGAGTTAGTTATCTTCCCTGGTCATACCAGTCTTTATCTAGCAGTGTGACTGCAAGTCAGTATGTGGTCTCCCTCCTGCTATTGCACCCTTCAATCTGGGGGCTGGGAGCTTTCTGAAGAGACATGCCCAGTCCTTGTTGAGATCTCTCCAAGCAAGTCAAGGGGAAGGGACCAAATAGCCAGTCAGCGTTTGCCTCATGGGGGCTAACCATGTTTATTGAACATCTTGTCAAGTTCCAGGGGCTGTGCTCCATGTGGTAAATATTCTATCTCACTGAGACCCTGGTTGTCCCAGAGACAGGGGACAATCTAGAGGAAAGCCGAGTGGGCCTCAGGCTCTTAGCTGGCCAGGAACCTGAAGACTTGAGATGTAAAAAAAAAAAAAGGAGAAGAGATGAACCAAAAAATGGGTGCATGGCTGGGTGGGTTTTCCCCGCGTCCATGTACATGCTTGCATGTGACTTTCCGTAGCCCTGGCCTCCATGCCACTGAACAAGTCACAGCGTTTCCTGACACCAAGCCTGGGCGAGGCTGCTGACTCTGGCAGCAGTCTCACGTGTTAAAAACATGGCTATTGATCACAAAACCTACTTTAACCAGTATGTGGCAACTTCTTTCTTCCAGTTGCTTAGGAAGGAAAACTTACAATCTGTCGTTGAATTCTTTCTTTTTTTCACAAGGCAAAGTCAATCGGTCAAGAAATCCTACAGCTATGCTTCAAAACATATCCTGAATCTGACCACTTTTTACTCTTTTTAATGCTACTGCCCTCAGCTCTTACCTGGATTATTGTAATAGTATTCCCCTGGTCTCTTTGCTTGCCCCAGCTACCCATTATTCTGTTAATAATATGACAGCCAGGTACACTTTCTAGAATACAACGTAACATCCCTTCATCTACTCAAAGCTCAATCTCTCTGACTAACAACAAACTGTAAATTATCATTTGTATACAGGAGCACACATACATACATGTGTGTTTGTGCATGTGTGTGTGCATTGTTGTTTGCTGTGGTACATTTAGCCCACTTTTAGTCAATTATTTTATATGGTGCAAGCTACGGACAGATGTGTTTGTTGTTGTTGTTAAGGCGTGGTGGTAGTAACTGCTTATTTTACAAAGTCAAATTGTTCCAGCATTATTTGTTGAAAAGACTGTTGTTTCTCCATTGAATAACATTGGCAACTCCCATTCTCACAAATCAGTTACTCATAATGATTGATTTTTCAGCCAATTTGGGCTCTAAAAAGACAATTCAGAAAGCCTGCACTGGAGTCACAGTGTGGGGACCACCCTATTTCATCACCGCTCAAGTTCTTTACTTTCTTATCGCAGGCTTTCGGACCTAAGCTGGAACCTTGCCTAAGAAGTGAGATTAAGGGAAGTACCCAGACCTAAGTCACTTCTTGGACTTCTTCCATTGACAGAGTTC